AATCATAATAGAGCTTCTGTTTTCTTCTTGTGCTACTTCCGTATTCTTCTTTCTTTGCTTCCTTAATTAGTTTTTCTATATCACCCATTTTAAATTCTGGGGCTCTTTGTTGCACATAAAATAATTTATCTAACGGCGTTATAATCTTTCTGCCTAGAAATAACTCAGCAGGAGTTTTGCCCGTTGTATCATGTTTTGCGGTCCTAAGGGCGAAAGCAAATTCATTGACATAGTTATCAAAGCTTTTATGAAAATTTTTAACATAACTACGGATAATTTTCACTATATTTCTATTGACCCGTTCCGCTATATTTAATTGCGGCCGATACGGGGCCATTTTTAAATGACGTATGCCCAGTTTTTGGCACATGTCTTCAAATATATTACTTACAAATTGAGGACCATTATTCGATATAACTTTTAGGGGCGCCCCGTATTTTAAAATATATTTATTTAAAATAGAATCAGTAACTAATTTTGCGGAGGCTCGTTTTAAGGGAACAATTTCGGCCCATTTACTATAATGATCAACCATAACAAGGAGATAGCGATTTTTATTTAACTGACTTTTTGGGAAAGGCCCGATAAATCGATGCCAATTATTTCATTTGGAAATTCGGATTTAATACTATTTAGAAACCCGGCCGGGCGGAAATTAATATAATTAACTGCTTGACATGTTGAGCAGGACTGGACATACGCCCTTGTTAAATTTTGCAGTTCAGGAAAGTAGACTGCCTCGCGTACGCGTTGGATAGTTTTTCGAATAGCAGCATGAGAAGCTAAAGGGCTGTGTCATGGAGCTCCTGCAGGATATTTAATCTAAGACTAGCTGGGATAACAGGTCGAAATTCGTTGTTGGAATTCGTAGTTTTTTGTATAGAATAATAGACCATCTATTAGTTCGTAATGGGGCCGCCCCCTATTTCTTATCGCCACAATATCTTGGTGGCTAAAAGTTTCAGGATCCTTTAAATACTCATAAATGCTTCCAAACTTAGGATCCTTACCCAGTTCGGTTATTACAGTTTCTCGGGAATTTATTGTACATGCTGTGAGCATTGCCACCTTTACGGTATTACCTTGTTCATCTATTTTAATTCTTGATAGGGCATCTGCTACGATATTTTCCTTTCCGGTAGTATGCTTGATTACCAGATTATATTCTTGCAGCTTTAGTGCCCTTCTTATTAACCTTGGGGATAAATTTTTACCTGAGTACAATCTAGTTACCGCCGCATGATCAGAGTACACTGTTATCGGCGCCTTTCCAAAATAGACTCGGAACCTTTGCACTGCTAACAGAACTGCAAGTGCCTCTCTCTCGGTCGCGGAATAGTTTCTTTGTGTTTGATTTAAAGTTCGGCTAAAAAATGCCACGGGCTGCTGATTTTGCGAAAAAAGTACCGCTCCTACCGCATAATCCGAAGCATCCGCTGAAATTTCTAAATTCTCATCCTTTTCAGGAAATTTCAACACAGGGGCTTGCGTTAATGCTTGTTTTAATTTTTCGAAAGCACTATTGGCTTCGGCCGTCCACGAGAATCTTGCCTTTTTCCTTTTTAATTTTAACAATGGTTCAGCAATAGCTGCAAAATTTTTTATAAAGGACCTATAATATGAACAAAGTCCTAGAAAAGAAGAGAGCTTCTTCGCCGTGGTTGGAGTCGGATACTTTTGTACAGCAATTATTTTTGATTCGTCTGTCTCGATTCCTTTTTGAGATATTTTGTAACCTAAATATTTTAATTCAGGGGCTGCAAATTTGCACTTTTCGACATTAACTTTTAGACCGGCCTCATTTAATAAAGAAAACACCTGTCTTAAATCCTGTACATGTTGGTCGAGATTATCACTAGTAATAATGATATCGTCTAAATAGATAAATGTGGACTTTCCAAGAACAGGTCTTAACACAATGTCCATGCATCGCTGAAATGTTGCCGGGGCCCCTGAAAGGCATACGCAAAAATGCATAAGTGCCAGACTTGGTTATAAAAGCAGTCTTAGGCACGTCCTCAGGCCTAACCCCTATTTGAAAATAACCAGTCGTTAAGTCTAAAGTCGTCATAAATTTGGTTGATTTTATGTTCCTTAGAATTTCTTCAATGATCGGTAACGGATATACCGGATATTTAGTTATGGAGTTTAATTTACGGTAATCAATAGCGAATCTCTCCACCTTTTTGGATGCGTCCAAAGGATATATCATTATTTTTCTTACATAAAACCACCGGGCTAGCATAACTACTTGAGATGGGCGTTATGATCTTTTTACGTAGCATATCGGTAATATGCCATTCTATAATTTTTTCCTTATTTTTATCATACCGGTATGGTTTTTGGCGAACTGGCATTGCATCTCCGGTGTCAATACTATGGTTAGTAACCTGAGTAAATCCTGGAATATCACTAAATAACGAAGCAAATTCACTTACCACTTGTCGGATTCTATCTTGCTCGTCATTAGGCAGGTGGTCAAGATTTACCATCGGCGGTTCAGCCTTTTCTGTACGAACTGGTTTCATTGTCAGCTTAAGGGACGCTTCATTAAAATCCAGTGTTGCTTGTGCGTCTGAAAGAAAATCTATTCCTAAGATTAAATGTGCTTGCAGATTCTTTACTATAAAAAACATCACCTTTACTTGTTCGTCCTTGATACGGATATACAAAGGTACTTTACCTATGCACTTACATTTTTCTCCTTGCGCCGCTAACACTGTCGTATTATCCGAATTATATATGCGGTATTTGCGAAAATACTTCCTAAAAAATCTTCTGCCACACAGGAACACTGCGCGCCGGTATCCAGGAGTGCGGTGGCTGGGATATTATTCACCAACACTTCAATCTTCGGAAGAGTCAAATTTTTCACCATTACTGTATTTAACTTGTAGGAAGAGGGGTTTTCGTGACCTTCGGATTTCCGCACCCTCTCGTCAGCAGAAATCCGTTTTAGTAGTTTAAAATTATTTTTCCTTTCCGTGCTTTCCTTCTTTTTCCACTGGCCTTGAGACTTTTTTCCTGGTTGCTATTGAACTGTCGACGTTCGCGCCGGCTGTTTTTGAATGCTCGGGTTTCCTTGCCACTGATTCGCTTTTTCTCCGTAGCCGTGTGCTTGAGTTTGCTGTAGTCTTGGCGTACCAAATTGGTTTCGCTGTTGATATTGGCGTCTTCTTTCGACGTCCGCCGTTCTTCTACTTTCAAACTGGATTGCTAGCTCAAATAACTTTTCCAGTGTAGGCGGATTACTTAATTCAATAAAGTCTTGCACTTGGGGCAGTAACCTCGGCAAAATCACTTGAATTATTTCAGGATCCGGACGGTTTCCATACAAGAGCTTGAAAACGTGAATTTTTCTTAAAATAAAGCTCGAGAGGTTTTCGATTCTTTTGTTGATATATACTGAAAAGTTCCGTTTCTAATTTCGCACGATCCCTTACAACAGGGAAGGCTTTTAGTAGGGCAGTCTTGAAATTTTCGTAAGTATAGGTGGGACTTCCTGCTTGACCCAAGAGACTTCTGCCTATACATTTGAACCAGTTAAGCGCTTGGCCCCCTCAAAGCGCTGGTAGCTAAGGTAACTTTTTGAAACTCGTGCACGGGGTAGAGCATGAAGTGGTCATCCAATTTTTCCAAAAAACTGGTTACCGGTGAGTTTCCATTAAATGTTGCTTCTGGTTTCATCGAAGCGCGCATGGTCTGGACGATGTAACCAAATCCTTCCAGGGCGGCAGCTGGCATTTCTGGATTCTGAGCCGTTTCTGCAGGCAGCACAGGTTCTTCTTGAAACTCGGCCATGGTTATTCTTCTTCGTTGGGCGCCACTATCAGGTTCAATATTCCTTCTAACCTTCTTCGGGAACATGCAAGGACCTGACTCGGAACAGAGAGCTTACTAAGGCTATGTTCAAAACTGTGGGAAGTAAACAGGATACACAAGAAGGGTATACAAAACCCTTTATTTTTCTCTGTTTTACAAAAACTTCCGTACTTCGGAATACACCGACCCGCTACTTGGGGTCAAAACGTAAAAGTATAAAAATAAAACTAAACTCTAATTTAACTTTAGAATAATAAACGTGGAAGATTGGCCTTATAATAACAGGAAGCGTATGTAGTACAGAGAACTGTGAACAGTACAATACGTTTAAATTTATCAAAAGGATTAAAACCTCTGGCCTGGAAGGCAAACAGCAACTGCGTAACTTCTAAGGTAAGCGGCCTGCTTCGACTCACTGTTTCCTCTCTCTCTCTTGGCAAAAAGCCACAACTTAAATACTTGGCGTTCGCCAGACAACTTTGCATAAAAACCTTAACGCTTATAATTCTGGCCGGAAGTAGAAAATAAGAAGTGATAGTAAATGGGCTAGATTAATCAGAGATATTAGTATTACAAATGGAATTTAGATTCTTAGTTGAAAGAATGACAGGACTCTTTGACAGGAAGAAAGTAGAAGCTACGCTAATTACAAGGTTGCTATATGAAGGAAAATTTTGCAAGGCTGTTAAGGTGGTGTGGTGGTGTATTTAATTATGGCAAAGCACACTAGGGCTATCTGCCTACCAAGGCTGTTAAGGAAAACTGATTAAGAAGTACATTAGTATGGATTTTAGCCTTTGAAAATTAAAAATTATGAATTACTTACACTAATATATTTTAATTTCCTTCTTTTAAAATATCGAATATATTTATTTTATAAGGTATGTATCCTTCTTCCAGCATGCCTTCGTAGTGTAACGGTAGCATACTCGGAGCGTATTCGAAAGGTACAGTTTTGGGTTCCGGAGAAAGAATTGCTCATCTTTCAAGTATACCTGCTTTAAAATAACTAAATAAATCTACAGTGGCACTCGCACTAAAAGGTCATGAACGATAATTCATCACCACCATTCGTTACCATAATTCGTTAGCAAATCTTTTAAGAGCGTTCACTGCATTCAGAAAGCCCTGAAATATCTTTCAAGTTCATAAAATGATTACATATATTTATCTTACAGATTCTCTGCCTGAAGAGGAACTCTTATTACGCTGGACAAAAAAAGGAGTCGGCATCCTGGAAGATATGAAGCCCACCCACAATAAATTCAAGTTGGTCACTCCAGTTATTATTGGACATATGAAATTAAAGTACGATGGACCAGGTACGTTTTAAAGACTTACAATGAATAATGAATAACGATTAATAACTATAAACCTTTTCATTACATCAGATTCCTTCTGCTTCCATATTACATTATTAATGAGAGATATGAGTTTTCATGTGAAATATTGAAAATACCTCCTTTTTATATGAAACTTTTTTGTTTTAGATTAATTATTCTACCTTGGCATATATTTAAAATATTAAAATTCTCAAGCAATGAAGTTACAAAAAAAATGACAAAAAAGTTACTTCAGAGTTTTCAAAGTCGAATACAATATGCTTGTAACTAAAGGCCCATTATGATTTTGAGAAAAAGTGAATATATAGTAAGCAAATATGAACTGTCAATAAATTTCTTTGTACCAAGTATGCAATTGGCGTTAATTTCCTTTAAGAGCATAGGAAAAGTGTAAAAAAATTATGTGAAGCAAATTAAAAATAAACTGGAGTACATTATATTATAATCAATTTAGAACTGACATGCAAAAAGTATTATAACGCATAACGATAGCAACAATGTAATCTAGAATAACTATAACAATGCACATAGAGTACATTATAATCAATGTATAACTGCCATTAATTTCAAAATATAGAAGAGGAACTTTGCAGAATAAAACGTAAGGAAAAGGAAACAGCCTTAGATTGCATAGATTTTGGGCTTTCGGGACAGCTGGATTAGAACTAATATTATTAACTGTTAAGTACATTTCTGTGAACATGAGAAGCTTCGTGAAAGTCTGATTCACGAGCCGAAGAAGATTCTGGAGATATTAACGTTTGCAAACTTTGACCAATATCTTGTATAATGATATCTAGATCAATGCTGTCTTGTTCTTTAGTGACAGTTCTAGTTTGCAATCTGATTTCAGACACCAGTTCAGTTAGCAGGAAAATGGTAACACGTACCTGCACCGAAACATTCAAGAAAAGTATCATTATAATGGTGTTAAACGACAGTGTGATTAATTGATGTACTGAGCTACAGGTGTTAGACAATGGAACTGTGACAAGTTGTAATGTTGCGCGCTTCCAACCTGCACGCAACAATAGTGGTGACTGCTATGAACTGGAAAGTATACAAAGTCTTGAGAAGGGTTTAAATCCCTTTTTATTCAACTTTAAAAATTACAGATGCTTGCTCTTGACGCTCACAAACTACGCCGACACGGCGGTAAAATAAAAATAAGAAACTCAAAAAAGAATAACAACAAGTGACTAACTACGCGGCTCTCTAAACGTAACTAACCTAACCGCGTTCTAAGATACCGCTGATAATTCAGCAAACTTCTGAATATTACGTTGAAAGATTTAACAATCTGCCGAGGCAAGCACACAGGCCGAAACGCGTGGTTCTTCAATTTCTAACTAGCCACCTCCACGCTCGTGAAGCAAGAAAGAAAGCACACTTCGAACTCGTTTCCCTTCTATTTAACTCAGATTACTTCCGCTGACAATTTTGAATCCTTTGCGCGTTCTTCTACTAAAATTTACATACTCTGGCATTGGCAATTCCAGGGGAAAGTAAGGCTTGACAGGAAAGATAGTTTAAACTTAAAATAAATGTTAGTTAAAATAAATATAAACCCTACATTTGCCGCTGCCAGGATTTGGTAAACTTGGAAGCAGGTCCTAGAAACGACCTGTTGAAAAGTTTCCACAATTCTGAACTAAATTTTAAGAGCCTCGTTTACATAAAAAAAAACTGTTTTCTTCACAAAAGGTAGAATAAATTTCTGTAGATACTTATTTAACTCTCTCTTCTTACAGCAAGCTTTTCTGGACTTCAGCAATCAATCTGTTCTCTTCCTTCCAGCATCTGGAAGGAATAAGTATCAGTATCTTTCTAAATACATTATAATTTACACTTTCTTGACACTGAATAAGTTTTTGTTTTTGATCGATTTATTTTCCTTAGTTACTGCTTAATTCACATTCATTCAAGTATTCAAATATGAATTTAACTTAAATTTAAAATGACTCTGGCTCTCCACCATGTGTGGTGTCAAACGGGAAGATTCGTGTTTTAGTATTGCAACACTTCCCCTAACCACAATGATTTGTTAGAATTCAACGACCAAATAGACACACCTTACTCGACATTCTACAACTCGATGGGCTATTTTAACATTCTTAAAATTCAAGTGTAGGTGGAGAACCCTACAAAACACATTCATTCTAACTTCCCCCTCATTCATCTTTAGACATGCAGGCTTTCGCTCTAAAGCATGATTTTATCTACAGTTTAATACTTAAATTTGAATTCATTGCTTTTGAGCATTTACTTTTAGCATCTAAAATTTTATGCTTCTAGACTAAATTCTACTTTTACATAACTTTCAAGTATTTACGTATATTTACAAAATTCTAATACATATGATTTTTACAATTTACCATAAAATGAATAAGAGAAAAATAAATTTTTACTTTACTCATTCTTCGCCAAGCTGGCGGCACTGAAAATAAGTTCTTATTAATACAAGAATACGAAGTTATTTTTATCTTCGGCCAAATTTTGGCTTTAACATAACAGAATTAGTCTTTCGACCAACAGAAACTGCTTGTTCTTAGATTTTATACTTGAAAGAAAATAATACTTTTGCCTTAGCTAAATAAAGTAAAACAAAACTAAATCTCAACCGAGACACATTGACTTCCGTCAAAACATAGAACTTCGTATTTACGCATAACATTTCGGAACAAAAGAAAAAAAATTTATAGAAGATTTTAACTTATCTTTGAGTTTTCGATGATTGGAACTCCGACATCCTCTTCTGGCAGAACTGCTCCCACGTTATAGATTTCATCGACGTCAGTCGTCTCCTTAGTGTCCTTCGAGTGTCGTCCACGTTGTTTTTTTTTTTCGCCCTCTGCATGCTGGCCTCTTGGAGTGGTAGTCGTCGGGTTGCTGTCTTTTCCGTTTTGCCCCTGGACGGCTGGTCTTGGCGTCCTCCGGTCTGGAATCATGCTTGAATTTCTTCTGTTGGTGGTGGTCTTTTCGTTCTCGGGAACGGCGGCCTTGTTTGCACCTGACTCTCTGGCCCTGGAAGCGTTCTCCTCGATGTAGAATTTCTACTGCGATACGTTGTAAGTGGTGTTTTCCTCTTTACCAAAGTTTCTTTACGCGGCGGCGTTTGCTTTCTTGTATTTCTTAAATGCTGGAGTCTGAAACGTTTTTTTCTTCTTTTCGGTACCGTCGCATGACTTGTAGAAGGGCTAGGTTTCTCTTCAGTTCTCTGCTTCTTGGGTGGTGGAAGCGGGTGACGTTACTTCTGGACCTTCTACTTCTTTTACGCTTGAGTCCTGCAAGAAACTTTTAAGGATTTCAAAATCATTTTGATTATAATATTTTTTCACCTGGTCGGGACTTGCTTTACAGATTTCCCCTCTCTCGTTCTTAAGGTACAATACGACTCCCTTGATTTCCTGAATTACATAGGGGCCTTCAAATTTTGGAGCTAACTTTGCAGTAAAATTGTCTGGGGCACTTGATAAAGAAAATTTCCGCTTCAACACTTTATCCCCAACTTTAAAATCTGCTTCACGGCGTTTCTATCATAGTATAAACTTTTGTCTATTTCTTGCCGTATCCGAGCTTTTAACCGCCTGGTCAATAAGTTTTTGCACATCTTTTTGTTTAAATTCTTGCTCTCTTTGTTGCACAAAGAATAATTTATCTAATGGCGTAATTAACTTCCGTCCTAAAAATAATTCTGCTGGAGTTTTTCCCGTAGTATCGTGATTTGCCGTTCTTAAAGCATAAGCTAACTCATTTATGTAGCCATCCCAGCGCTTGTGATGTGTGCTAACATAACTTCGAATTATTTTTACAATATTTTTATTAACTCTTTCTGCTATGTTTGCCTGTGGTCTATACGGAACCATTTTTATGATATGCCAAGTCCAGTGCAAATGTTTTCAAATATTTGGCTAACGAATTGTTTACCGTTATCGCTAATGACTTTTATCGGTGCACCGTATTTTAAAATGTATCTGTGTAAGAATGCATCTGCGACTGTTTTGGCTGACGCGCGTTTAAGTGGAACAATTTCTGTCCATTTTGAAAAATGATCTACAATTACTAAAAGAAAACGATTTTTATTTAACTCACTCTGGGGGAAAGGACCAAGAAGATCTATGCCTAAAATTTCATTCGGAAATGTAGCGCGAATGCTATTTAAGTACCCGGCCGGGCTGTAATTAATATCATTTATTAACTGACATTGATTGCAGGACCTGACATACGCAGTTACTATTTTGTATAATTGCGGGAAATATACCGCCTCGCGTACCCTTTTTAAAGTCTTTCTGACCCCTAAATGACCCGCTGTTTTCGCGTCGTGTAATTCCTTCAAAATGCTTAATCGAAGCGAGGCTGGGATGACTGGTTTGTACTCAAGATTTTCGTTTGTTGTTTTCGTATAAAATAATAAATTATCTATTATTTCATAGTTTTCTGCTCTATTTCTTATCGCATCGATATCTGTGTGCTCAAAGCTTTCGGGGTCTTTCAAATATGCATAGATACTTCCAAATTCAGGATCAGCTTTCAATTCAGCAATAATTGTTTCTCTAGAATCTAAAATTTTTGAAGTCAACACAGCGCATTTGAGTTCATTTCCTTCATCGTCCAGTTTTATACGAGAAAGTGCGTCAGCTACATTGTTTTCCTTACCCGGTTTATATTTAATTATGAGATTATATTCTTGAAGTTTTAAAGCCCATCTTATTAACCTGGGCGTTAGGTTTTTCCCCGAGTAAAGTCTACCAACAGCCGCATGATCCGAAAAGACTGTTACTGGCGCTTTGCCGAAATAAACTCGAAATTTGTGTACAGCCATTAATACGGCTAATGTTTCTCTCTCTCTGTAGCTGTATAATTCCTTTGTGTAGGGTTCAACGTTTTACTAAAAAATGCCAAAGGATGGCCATTTTGCATAAGAACCAGCACCTACAGCATAGTCCGACGCATCTGCTGCAATTTCCAGGTTTTCGTCC